GTCCGGACCCGAACCGGACCAGCGGGGGGGCCCAGGGGGGACGCGGACGGGACTCGGAGGAAACCAGTAGGGCACCCGGAGGAAATCTGGAGGTCACCCAGGGCCTACCCGGAGGAAACGCGGGGGAGGGGGGGGGGCAACCTAGGAACTCTGGAGGGCACCCAGAGGGCACCCAGAGGGCACCCAAAGGGCACCCGGAGACAACCCGGAGGGCATCCGAAGGAAACCCGGAGGGCAACCGAAGGAAAACCGGAGATAATCCGGAGGTCACCCCTGGGGTTAACCTGGAGCACACGGAGGACATCCAAGGGGGGCCCCCTCCGTTCTCCGCACCTACCTGGCGCCCTTGTCCAGCAGGGCCAGCCCGAACCGCTTGACGGCGCGCCGGCCCAGCAGCAGCGGCAGGAACTCGTTGAAGGACACGTGCTGCGTGACGGCGGCCAGGATGTGGCGCACCTCCTGGAACAGGCGCTCGTCGTCCCAGTGCGCGTTGAGCGCCGCCAAGCCCCGCGCCAGCCGGTTGTGCTCGCGCACCAGCAGCACGTGCAGCGCCGTCAGCCCCAGCTGCTCGTTGGCGCGGTTGTCACCTGTCACACACGCTCACGTCGAACCGCCAGTTTCTGCGCGCGCGAACTTTTGAATTTTTGATTCCTCCCCCTTGAATGTAGGCCAGCATGTCAGTCAGCAGGGAGTGTGCTCTTACCGGCGAGGAAGCATGGCTCCGGGTTCTGCTGGTCGGCGATGCAGCCGTCGCCGGGGTGCTCCAGCTTGGGGGGCATGGCCGTCTCCCGGTGCGCGGCGTCCTCGTCGCGGTCCTCGCCGCCGTGGTCCAGCTGCTGCTCCCGCAGGAGGCCGCCGCGCAGCTGCCGCAGCGCGTCCGTGGCGCGGTACGAGGAGCCGTACACCGTGCCGGCGTCGATGTAGGCCGTGACGAGGTTGAACTGCGCCCGCGGGCCCAGGCTGCAGTCGGCCCGCAGGCCGGCCAGCGAGCGCGCCAGCTCCATGCACCGGCCCATCGGGTCGCCGCGCGGCAGCAGCAGCCCGAGGCAGTTGGGGTGCAGCGCGGGCGGGCGCTCGCCCGGCCTGGCGTCCTCCGGAGGGCAGCAGGGCGGGTCTCCGCGCGTCCAGGGGTCTGTGGGAGACGCCTGGTCGGTAGGCCGGCCCGCTACACAGGCGTGCCCCGCGGCGGCCTACCCGGCAGGCGGCCCTCAGCCTGCAGCTAGGCCAGCCCGCTACACAGGCGTGCTCCGCGGTGGCCTACCCGGCAGGCGGCCCTCAGCCTGCAGCTAGGTCAGCCCGCTACACGGGCGTGCGTCAGGGCGGCCTACCCGACTAGGCGGCCTCAGCTAGGCCAAGAGCTGGCACTGTATAATTTCAAATGTGTAATACCCGGAGAGGGCGACAATAGCGTATCCGACAGAAAACAGAGTAACCTAAGTCGCCCTTTGTGCATACACATCTCCCTCGCCCTCTCCTTGGCACACCTTTGTGTGTATAATACGCTTGACAGTCGCCGCCGCTGAGCAGTCAGTTGTGGCAGTTTGATTACACTGGGTGCAGCATCGCAAACGCCATCCTATGCGACTTCAAAGGCGCCTTCCTGAGGGGACCGGACCGCACTCCTTGGGCCTAGGGCTCACAGCCCACGGCTTACACCTGCCACAAAACCTACTATTTCACCAATCACAAGATGATGCGGGCCAAGCACCTGCTCAGGGGGATTACATGGTGATTGTTCAGCATACTACGCAAACAAAGATGTATCGTGAGAGTACGACAAAGGTGTCCGATGTGTGCCAAGAAGGCGACTTCAGTCGCTCTGGTTTCTGTGGCATACTCCTTTGTCGTCCTCTCTGGGTACACCTTTGGAATTACAGTGTGGAGTTGTGCACCGTGGGCCGCCGTGGCCTTACAGCCACGGATGAAAATTTCCGCAGGATCTGGGAAATTATTGTATTTTCAGGAAATTTTTAGTTTTTTTCCCTACAAACCTAATCTAACCCTTTAACCATATGCTACCGGCCCTGCATGAGGCGGCCTGCGGCTAGGCCGGCCCGTCGTACTACCTTTGGTCTCGGCGGTGAGGGTGAGGTCGTGGTCGAGAAGCTGCCCCCACGTGACGAACAGGAAGGTGGCCCGCTGGTGCTCCGCGCGCTGCTCTGCGGCCCCGCGGCCGGCCGCCAGCTCGCGGTGCACGTGCCGGGACACGAGCCGGGGGTTGGGCAGAGGCCGTCCGGAGCGGGCCAGCCTGGGAGCGCCCACGTCTGCACAGGCCGGGTAAGAGGTCAGCAGGCAGCCTGGAAAATTTCCTAACAATTCCCGGAAAATTCTCGGAAAATTCTCGGAAAATTCCCGGAAATTTTCAGGCAAAATAAGGAAAATTTTCCAGACCGCTGAATTTTTTTTCCGGTTTTATTTTTCGAGACACTCCCGGAAATTTTCCGGAAATTTCCAACGCTCCTAAAGGTCAGCGAGCGTACGGACGTACCGTCGCCGTAGTCGGGCGGGAGGAGCCGCCGGAAGGCGGTACCCGCCGCGCCCCAGGTCGGGCTGGCCAGGTTGTTGCACGCGCCGTCGTGCCGCCGGAAGCGCGTCTGCTCGCACTTCCGGCGCGAGGCGAGTGACGCCGGGCAGAAGCGGGCGATGTCCGTCCAGCGGGTGTCCACGCCGGCCAGCCCCAGGACCACGTCGGCCCGCGACAGCGAGAACCTTGCGGGGGAAAGCAGAGGGCGTAGGCGGTCAGGACGGCGTCGTCGGCGAGCTCAAGCTCGGTCAGAGGCGTCAGGATGTCCTCAGCACCTCTCCTTCAGGAGGCGGGTGGTCTCCTCCAGGGCGGCCCCCAGCTGGCCGACGTAGTGGTCCGGGGCGGGGCCGGCGGCCGGACGTCGGGGTCCGGTGCGTCCCCGGGCCTCGTGGAAAGCCTCGTTCACGGCGCCAAACGGTATGCATCGGGTATCGGCCCTGCGTGCAACGCAACAGATTTGTTTGTAATCGTCACAAAGGAAGCATTATTCAGCGGATTAATATGCGCGAATTGCTTAATTTATTGATTTGCTTTTATTGTTGTTGTTGTTGTTTCGTCTCAACCCGGCGCTATAACCGCTCGCGCGAGGCGCTCTCGCAACCGTTTGGTGGCGCTGTGATTGCTCACACATCAATAACAGCTGGCCGTCGGGATCACGCACAGGTCAGATGCTGATAGGGCATTCTGATATAGCAGCCAGCTTTAGGCCCTTATCGTTCTCTCTCTCTCTCTGTTGGTCTCGTATAACGGAATTTAATTTTTCAAAGATTTTCCTGGAAAAAATTTCATAATCTTTTTGAAATTTCTTATTTTTTCCAGCGAAGTTTTTCTAGAAAAAAGTGTAATAATCTTTTTGAAATCTCTTATTTCAGCAAAGTTTTGATTTTCTGGGAATATTTCTAATTTTCCTAATTTTTCTCGTAAAGTTGCCATTTTTTTCCTTGAAAAACATTTCGGACTTTTATTTTTAAATCCCCTCTTGTCGCGCACTCGCCTGTCGCTGATGAGGTTGATGGTCTGCGGGGGCAGCAGCAGGGCGCAGTCCTCGGGCCGGGGGGCGGCTCCCGGGGGCGGCGGGCGGGCCGAGGGCGGCGGCAGAGCGGCCCGCGCGCAGGCCGACCACGACGTCATCAGCGCCACCGTCAACATCCAACCCCAACCCCTGCGCCTGCAGACAGAGCAAAGAATTTTTTTGCACACATGCAGCTGCCGACTTCAAACCGCGTCGACCTGACCCGGTTGACGACACCACACCAGGACGAGGTGACGCATTTGCATCGCGTTCTCCCCCAAGAGCTGGGCTTTCCCCGCTCATTCCGCCCAGGACCTGGACGATCCTGTCGGCCGGGGCCGCGTGCACCACTACGAACTCGTCCTCGCGAGCGGGCCATGTAAGCAGACTACTACTCTTAATGAGGAAGTAAGTAGTGTCTGTTGGATCCGCTGGGCGGGGCGGGCTCCGGGCCCGCTGCTGCTCTGGGTGCAACCGGGAGTAAACCGGACTCCCGCCGTGACGCTTCCAACGCTCGGGGCCGCGTAAGACGAATTAACCAGAACGACCAAGTTAGTGCCCGCGCTTATGGCACATCTCTTGCTTCTGGCGGGTCACGCTTAAGTAGTGCCAAGACCTTCACTGTTAAACCAAGTGTGCATCTGCTTGACACTTAGAAGTGTGCAACACTGCAAGTTGAATCATACTCGCAAGTGTGCAACTCCGTTTGCTCAACTCGGCAGGTGTGCACTTCTCTGCTGTACACTTCCTCAGAATGAACGCTCACTGTGTAGGAAGTGCTCAACTGAGGAGTTGCACACTTGCAAGAGCACACCTACCAAGATAAACACTTCAAGGTGTACACGTACACAACTACTGAGTTGAAGACATTCAACTTGCAGTTGCACCCTTACAAGTGTGAAGCAGTTCCACTGCTCAGCTTATCAGTGTTGGGGGCATCCAAAAATGTCAACGCAGCAAGAGACTTTGTTGAAGAATTAATTCGCGGGCAGCCGAATGTGAACCTGCTGGCGGGCATGTTGACGCGCGGGACGTGGGCGAAGCGCTTGCCGCGGACGCCGGCGAGCCTCTGGAGGAGGCCCGGTGAGGCCCGCCGCGGTGCTGCCCTTCCGCGGTGCTGCCCCGGACGACACGAGGGGAAGGACCTCGGCCCAGCAGTGCGGGGGCCGGCGGCGGCGGCGGGGGCGTCGGCCGACACTGGCCGACGTGGACACGCGAATCATCGTCATCGCGAATCGCCGGGAGCGTCGAGTGCGTGCCCGTGTGTGTGTGTGTGTACTGCCGTGGCGAGGGCGACGGTCTTGCGATATCGAGGCGATAGCGCACGGATGCAGGTAGCTATTAAAAGGTTTCGCCGCAGCCGGCCCGCGGCGGGAGGCACGCGACGCGGGCGGTGTCTCCACAGAGCCGTCGAAACTTTGTCATTCCTTATAAAATGTCGCTCTCATCACGTTTCCCGCGTTTTCCCGCGGCCAAAGAGAGTGCATCGTCGTCTTCGCGCGGTGCATCAACAACGGGGAGTTCCGAGCTTCCGCGCCTTCACCTAGCGAGGATTACGCGTGACTGTACGGGGGAAGTTCGAGAGGTCGATACGACGTCTCGAGTGCTGCTCGACTTGGCAACCCTGTGGTGCCGCACCACCCCTCCGCCCGCCTCCCCCTTCCCCCGCCGCAGCAGATGACGGAGAGGCAGCAGACGACAGTCGAGCCCGTCTGTCTTCTGCTCTCGTCGGACGCAGTGTTGTTGTTACGACGTTGTTGCAGTCGCCGCACACACACACACACATACACACCGCCGGTGAAGTTGCAAGACGCATTGTTTTTCCGCGTCAGCTCGTCGTGTGTTGTCCCTGATTGTCTGTCTTGCGGGCAGCCAGTCTGCGCATCTTCTCAGGCGAGGTGGGTGCGAGCTCGGTGGTGAGAGAGTGCGCGATCGAGCGAAGGGCGAGGCCCCCCCGGCGAGCGGAGCGGCTGCTGCGAGGTTAGGGCGCCCCAGGGGGGGACCGCCCCCCTCCCACACCGTTCCCCGCTTGCGCTTCCCGGGGGTGCGGTGTTAAGTTTCTTAATGCGGGTTGTCGTACTGTACACTTTGGGCTAAGCCAGAACCGCGGCCAGAATTTTGTGTCGTTTTGCATTCTTTGGTCTTCCTTTGCCTTCTGCAACTGTTTCAGTTTGTTTCTTTGTAAGGTGACTCATATATCTGAGTCTGTAGTGTACAGTCTGGGGTGATTCGCCTGCTTGCCTGTGCGTTTCTCATTGTTCTCTTCCAAGTGTCGTTGTAATTCACATCTAAGTTGTATTTGAGCTGACATTACATGTTGTGATCTGTGTCTTGTTTTATTTCAGATTCACCGCACTCCATTTGAAATGATGGAAGTGACAATGGAACCTCTGTGTCGACCACCACTATCACCAGGAATAGATGCCGCCCCAAACGTTACTGGCTTCAACCAGAGTACCGGAAAGTGGTACAGAAAAGCAGCGCACCGGTGAGTGATACCTCCACCTCACCATCTACAGCTGTGCAAGTATCTCTGCGCAAACATGACGGGACTTTTGCTCCCATTTGCAACATGCAATAGTTTTATCCTTTCTTTTGTGTTTCCACCGAGATAAGATAATACCCGACTGTGCTTTAAATCAGACGACAACCTGAGTGGTGAGTGGGAGAAAGTTCAACACATAGTGTCATCACAGTTTCAGCACTGTGCATTTGTGCGCAAGTTGGCTGTTGGGGCTCTGTGCGTTACACTTGTGTAGAAAACCTTTGCAATTTCAATGGTCCTACTTTACACGTTTCTTGGACTGTGTGTCAATAATCCAAAAAGAGAGACGGTCAACCGGGTAAACTGGGCGGTGGGTACATCGCACACACAACGCTGAATGATTGAGCCCGGTAATTAAACGGTACATTATTGAGTACCTTCCCCCGAAGGTCACATTACTCTAATGGAATCGATATAGACGGTCTTTTAGGAGCCCGGCGGAGCGGGGAAAAAACGGCTCTCTGGATCCGTCCCTCTCGAGTGTGTGTGTTTAGT